GTGACTCACCGCGGCAACTCTGCGACCGACGAGGTTGGCACCTTGCGTGCCTGACCACAGCAAGCATGCCACCACCCGTTGGGGTTGGTGGGGCGCCTGCGATGGGGCAACCACCCCTCTGAGGAATTCGAGGGCGTGGTCACTTGAAAGCCACGCCTGATTTGACCTCTCAGAGCTATGAGTGCCCCGCTTTCCAAACAGGTCCTCCGCTCTGACCAAGCAGCAGGCGCAGGGCGGCCCCCGAGGACGACACGCGGCGCTCGGTCCCCCGCAGGCTCCCGAGGTGGTGCGAGATGGCCACCCTCGCGGCTGATGAATCGACCAGCGCGCGGGGTGTCCACGACCAAATGCTGGCCTGGAGAGCTCACACTCGCTGGGCGACCAGCCGAACGGCAATCCGAGGGCCAGACCAGCCCTCTTCGCGCTCCGCGCCGCGATGAAGCAGAATGTGCGATTGACTTCGCGGTCTCCCGCCGCCCATGCTGGAGAAGGATGCCTCTCCGTCCCAGGCCGCGAAGTGGGGATCGAGGCCACCTTCGCGCCCTGCGGTGGGTGACCTGAACATAAATTCTTTGCTTGGATGGGGGGCGGCTGCGGCGAGCTGATGAACGACTACTTGCTACTTGGGGGGGCATTCTTTCGGAACGATCATCTCGACGAGCGTTTGTCAGGATGGCAGCCCGGATGAGCCCACACGAGCGGAGGTCCAAGCTTTCCAGGGGTGGCGGGCGCGCGCTGCCGGGAGGCTCAGGGCATGACCGTGTCCCAGATGGCATCGAAGTCCTCCTCGTCCTCGCCGCAGCCGCAGGTTGGCAGCTTCACGTCTGCCCAGAGGGCGCTCGGGAGCCAGGCGAGCGCAACGAGGAGCCGGGACATCCCTCAGAGCAGCCCCGCGCCGAATCGGCGCCCGCCTGCCCGGCCCAGAGTAAGGGCGGGCTACGACCCTCTGCAGCCTAGGCGGAGAGGCGCGTCCCCTTCGGAGCAACGCTGGGCCAGCGCGCCCCTCCGCCGCCCCTGCTGCCGGCGGGCCGCTGGGCCGCACTGCTGGAGAGCCTCGGCGACTGGCCGGTCGGTTCGGGCCAGTAGGCGGCTCTGGTACCGTGCGGCGTCCAGGCGGCGCTGGCTGAGCCGCCGCAGATGCGGGGCGTGCGGCCCGGGAGACAATGCGTGCGGTGACAGCTGGTCTACGTCGGTGGCGTTCGGGGGGGCGATCGCGGGGGGCATGAGGGTGCGGGGTCACTCCGGGGCCCCAGATCTGGTAGAGATCGGCGCGCTCCCGCAAAGCGTCGACCACAGAGTCCCCCAACGTGGTGTGGATCGGCCGGGATCTCTTAGCCAATACCCACATATTTACGCGCACGTGCTGGGTCAGTAAATCTGACCCTTCCATCAAATCAAACACCCATAGGCCCCCAAAGAGGTCCCCAATTGCACTCCTGCGCGGAAGCAGTCGGCAGCAGGACTAGCAAGCGCAGGGGGCCGCATCACTTGCGGATGCAAAAAGATGCTGTCATTTTGAACCGCTGCTGTTACAGAGATCTACGGTACAACCTGAAGTGTAGTCCAAGTATCTTGGCGTGCAAACGCATTGCGTAGTGCGATACTGGCCAGCCGCAAGCCCTGTGTACTGATCGCAGCACGCAATAACAACTTCACGGCTGATTTACTTGCCGTGAGGGAGCTGCTGAAAAGGAGGGAGATGTCGGCCAACTCTTGGTCAATCTCGGCATAGCGGAAAGAACGCTAGCCGCGTACAGGTGATGCACATTCAGACAAACTGCTCGTCGAAGCTACGAAGTGCCCACTGCACGCAATGTGTATGTACGACGCGGAAATGTCTGGTACGCGCTCAACTGGTCCCCGTCAGAAGAGGAACGCCGAGCACAGAAGGGCGTCAGCAAGATCACCCAGACTGAGGACAGGAGCTCCACAAGTCCGTGGAAGTCTGGACGCGAACGGAAGAACCGCACCACTCCTGGGAAGTACCGCTGCTCCACGGACCTCTCCTGGGATGCGCTCTGACCCGGCTTTCGAGGCGAATCCAGCCGTGGCAACGAGGGCCTCCCAGGAGCTCCAAAGAGGCGAACACGAGACCAGGGTAGCGGCATTGGTACCTACCGGGGGGCTGGAAGCACGAAGGGCTGGAATCAATGCGGACAGAGTGGTCAGAGTAGGGGAAGTTGCGCTCGCATAGGCCCACAAAATAATAACACAAAAACAAGCCATGCCACGACCACGAAGATCAAAGACCTTATGGCAGCCCAAGAATCACGCACTATTTGTTTCAAGTTCGGCGCGGCCCGACAGACAAAATACGGCTGGAAACCCAAAACACGCAACACGACTGGGCACGGCCCGCATGTGGCCGCGTCAATGTTGTTGCGTTGCCAACATGCCGCAGCCACACACCCGTGTTGGCGGGCATGTGTGATCCCTCTCGGGAGTCCTCGGGGGGAGCCCTCGGGGACCGAACGGGGCTGGTGTGACCAATGTTGGCCCCGTGACCCAGGGTGGCTGTGTGACCCCGTGCTGGCCGTGACTGCCGCTCCAATACATGGCCTATGGACGGCCCGTACATGTGTATCCAGGCTCCCCGTGCTCCCTCCTCAGGCTGATGGGCGTCGCGCTGCGACGCCCAGCAGGCCACCAAGGCCCTGACCCGCCAGAGAGATCGCCTGGCGCCTCGCGTGAGCGGCGAACGCCGAGCATCCCGCCCGGCAGTCCCCTGGGAGGCCTCGAGGAGCGCAACGGAACGGCCGCCTCGTCGTACCTTCTTCTCCTCGCCTCCTCGATTGTCCATTTCCCCTCCTCCCCTCCTCCCCCCCTCATCTTCCCTCATCTCCCCTCCTCTTCCCCTCCTCCTGCCCTCCTCCTGGCCCCTCCTCCTCCTCCTGGCCCCTCCTCCTCCTCCTCCTGCTCCTCCTCCTCCTCCTCCTCCTCCTCCTCCTCTTCCTCCCCTACCCTCCTGCTCCTCCTCCTCATCCTCGTCCTCCTCCTCCTCCTCCTCTTCCTCCTCCTCCTTCTCCTCCTCATCATCATCCCTCCTCCTCCTCGATTCTCCATTTCCATTTCCCCTCCTTCTCCTCCTCCCCCCCTCATCTCACCTCATCTTCCCTCATCTCCCCTCCTCTTACCCTCCTCCTGCCCTCCTCTTGGCCTCCTCTCTCCTCTCCTCCTCCTCCTCCTCCACCTCCTCCTCCCCTACCCTCCTCCTCCTCCTCCTCCTCCTCCTCCTCTTCTCCTTCTCCTCCTCCTCCCCTCTCCTCCTCTCTCCTTCTCCTCCTCCTCCTCCTCCTCTACTTCTCCTCGTCCTCCTCCTCCTCCTCCTCCTCCTCCTCTCCTCCTCCTCCTCCTCCACCTCCTCCTCCTCCTCCTCCTCCTCCTCCTCCTCCTCCTCCCCTCCTCTGCCATCCTCCGCCCCTCCTCCTGTCCTCCTCCTCTACTCATCCTCTTCTCATCCTCTTCCTCTTCTTCCTCCTCCTCCTCTCCCCTTCTCCTCCCCTCCTGCCGGTCTACTTCCTTCTCCTCCTCCTCCTCCTCCTCCGCCTCCGCGTCCACGATGTCCCACTTCCCCAAGCTGTCTTGCAAACAACAATCGGCCCTGCCAAGTTTTGCCCTCGATCCTCGAGTGTCCAGGGCACAGGTTTTCGGACCTGTTTAGCCATTGCCGGACCTCTGGAGGCCTAATAGGGACCTCCGAGGACCTCCGGGGAGCGCCACGGGTCAGGATCCGGTGCAGCAGCAAAGCTTGCCGGTCGACCCTCGCCACCCTTGCTGCACCAAATCGCGCAAGATCCGCTCTCCTCTGCGCTCTCTGCCTGGCAGCCAGTGTGGTGCCATGGGCAATTGGCAGCGGGGATCCCTCGAAGCAACTTGTGAGCTTCTTTCTCCTCTGCCTTTCCGCCTTCCCTCCCCTCTCCTCGTTCCCCCATTCCCCCTCCCTCATCCCCCCTCTCCTGCAGAACAGGCCCCTCCCATCTCGCGGAAGCAAAGCGATCTGTGCTACGGCGAAGCATTCCTTTACAATCTCTTTGCAAAGCCAGTGGGTACTGCTGACTCACGCGCTGCTTCCCTGCACTCCCTGGAGTCAGCGCTGGTGTCTTTCAACGGCCGTGCACAGTAAATTCGAGCCAGCGTTCAGAAATTGCTTCAAGTCTGTCTCGAGCCAGCTGCGCTCACACGACCACTGGTTCTGACAGGTCTGTTGCAGCTGTGGCCTTCGCTATCGTAGCCTAATCGGCGACGCCACACAGGTTCCTGCCCATCTCGAGGTGCATGTACCCTCTGCTGCCCCAATATGTTGACCAACTGTTCCTGACGATCCAATATGGATGGCTGTCCTCCTTGTTGTAGCCGACAAGCTGGACACAATGATCCATTTTGTCCGCTGCACTGCTGCATTTCTTTGGGAAGACTCCTCTTTTATTTGCCAACCACTACCTCCAGCATTCAAGCAAATGAACGCGGGTCCCTTGATTGCCAGCGCCGCAGCAAATGCTTCCTCATCCTGATGCTTGCAAGACCCATGGTTGCAAGGCTCCACTGCGTATGTGAAGCCGCTGACAGTGGCAATCTCTTTCTCGCTACATCTGCACTTGCCAGTCTTGCCAGTGGTGTGGCTCTTGTCAGGATAGCCAGACGCTTCGTCAAGGTCCCTTGCCTTTTCGATATACTTGTAAGCGCTCACGGCATCTCCACCGTCGCAACCATCATCCTTCTTATCGCATGAAATCCGCCACCGTGCTTTGGCACGTTGTCGAAAGCCCTTAGGTCCTTCATTGTCCTTAGCGGTGGGAGGTTTCGCCCACGGGAACCTCGTTCGAGTTGCGCTCGTGTTGTTAGCTTGTTCGGGTGGGGCGAGGGTGCCTGTGGGCTGGGAATGGTGGCCTGGGGGCTGGGGCGGGGGCCGGTCTTGGATTGCGCAGAAGTGGATTCTGGAACGCGCGAAAGCGCCGTCGTTTTCACTTCTCGCCCGTTTCTGAACGTGGACGTACTTCTTTTCAGAGCCTCATGCCCACCGCCATGTAGAAGGTATCGTATTGGGGCGACCCTGCGGGGTATACGCTAGAGTAATCAACGAGCCAACTCGCGCTTTTGAACAGGAGACGTGTTTTGTTCCAGAACCCAATGGTCACCGCGATGTAGTAAGCATCGCACTTGCACCTCCCCATGGGGGTGTTGACCAGCGGCAATGCACGGACCCGTTCGTGCTCAGAGTGTCACGACGCATCAGGTGCAAAGCGAGTTGTTTGACATAGACGTGTCTCGTAGCAGAGCCCACTGGTCATCACGATCCAGGAAAGCATCGCGCGTGGATCTCCAGAGGAGGTGTCGACCAAGGGTGCTGCCCCGAGCCGTTCGCACCCAGATTGTCTCGAGCTTTGAAATAGAACGCCCGCTCTTGGACGCAACTATGACTTGTTTCAGAAACGCACGATCACCATGATAGGGGACGTCGACTAGAGATATGATACGAGCCCGTTCGAGCCCAGGAATGCGGGGGGCGTCTCAAATACAAAGCCGTCTTTTACATATACGTATCTTTTTCCAAGCCTGATGACCACCGCGATGTGGAAGGCATTGCTCCTGGGAATCCCTGAGGACTGTCGACGATTGGGGTTGCACGGGCCCCTCCACGCCGCTTACGTTGTCGGGGCCTCTCAACACGCCTGTAAGACGCCTCGCAAAGGCGCCTATAAGACGCCTCGAAGAGACGCCTGTAAGACGCCTGGCAAAGACACATATAAGACGCATCGCAAAAGGCTTCTCATGTATTAGACTGGTTGGAATGAAAAACCAAACTGTTTGGAAATAGTACCGAAGTGGCTGGAACTTGTCCTAGTTGGTTGTAATGTGTCCTATTGCCGGGGAGGCCCTCTCCTCCACCTTTCGTCCCCCCCCCTTTGGTGCGCCGAGTGGGGGGGGGGGGGCTTTTCCCGCTGACCCCCCTCCCCCTGCGTCGCGTTCGTTGGGCATCGCTCTGTCAAATCTCCGGGGGTCCACGTCGGAAGTAGATTTTCTGCAGAATCCGGGGGGGCTACTTGCATGGAAGGGGGGACGGAGGATAGCGAGACCCGAAGTCGGGACTCACTTGTACGCCTTTTCGGCCCAGCGTTGTGTGAAAAAGCGGCGAAATGGATGGAGGGGGGACGCCCTGCAACTTAGCGGGCCCCGCGTATACATCGGAGCACTAGCAAATGAGACAACGGCAACTCAAGATCGGTCCTGGACATTTTCCCCAGCTGCGTCCAGCCATGGAGACGATGGGGGGGCCCTCGAAGGCCAACCGCCGTTGCCTCAGCTCGCCTCGGGCCGGACGAAACGGGGCACAGCAGCAGTGGGGTCAGCCAACCAGCTCACGGTTAACTGGTTTCTCCGACGCCTCCCGGCGCCGGAGGCGAAACAATCGAAAGGACTGCGCTCCCGCGGCGGGGCCGAAACCAGCTGCATGCGGCAGATGTCCTAACCCGCTCGTCCCTGTCCCCCCCCCCCCCCTTTCGTCCAACGCAGCGGCCCTCGTCGAAAGTAGGGCCCTCGGCCTCGCCAGGCGCACCCCAGGCGGCGGGGAGCCTTGAGGAGTGGAGCCCTCGCGTGAGGGGCGAAGAGGAGGAGGAGGAGGAAGAGGAGGAGGAGGACGAGGAGGAGAAGGATGATGATGAGGAGGAGTGAACGCCCCTGGGGAGAGTCCTGGATCCAGGCCGCACTGCTACGACCTCGTGAGAAGCCCTCGCGCTCTGGCAGAGCTCTTGGCGATAGCCCTGCACCTGGCCTCCATAAGAGGGGACACGAGGGATTCCGAGCACCTCCCCTTCGATCGAAGGGAACTGAATGTCGATAACAAAAGATCGGAAGCAATACCTATACACAAAAGCTCAGGAAGGCTGGAGAAAAACATAGTATGGACAAGCACGCGCTCAAGAGAGGAAAGCTCAAAAAAGCGGACAGGCAGGCAGGGTATACATTTTTCTAAGGCATTCAAGGCTACAGGACAACCGAAGTAGTGTCGTACATCATCCCCTCCGACAGCGAAACACCCAAAACGACACGGCCCAATACTCCTTCCACTATGTCTGAACCCTTTAGTAATACACCACCCATTACATATAGCACATAACTGGGCAAGAACAATATAGAAGGGGAGGTGCTGGCCCATCAAGCTGATGTTGATAACCATCCGATCGGCATGCACATCTGACGCTGCAGGTTCAAAATGTTGCAGGCGAGGAAGTATCAGGCTGGAAGCAATAGGGGCCGACACGAGACCTTTCAGGAGCCTGTAGACCTTTTTCTGGAGGTCGGGTGTGTGGTTATTGTACGGGCACCGATGGACCACCTCCAACTCATCCTGAACCTTGCAAAGGTTGGAAACATACTCTGGTCCACTGAATTATTTTGCAAAGGAAGCTACTGAAGATGATGAGGAGGAGGAAGAAGAAGAGGAGGAGGGCGAAATATCGACCTGGAATCGGCGATGCATCGCCGACGGATCGGTGATCGGCTCCCGATGGCGAATCCGAGCGTTCCTGGGCGGGGCGGGGCTGTGAGACCCCCGTCGGCGATCAATGGGCGATGGGGGGTCGATCCGTTCCCCCCTGAGCCTGTCCGCCCCCTGACGTTGTATCCTGGTTTCCTGGCCATAGTAGTGACTCGTGCCACTGGTGGCCGTTCGGGCCCACCGGGGCATCCTGGGATGCCTCTGGGCGAGGCGCAGCCGCTGGAGAGCCCCGCGGTTGGAAACCGTCGAAAACGGACGAAAATGACCGAAGACCTCGAACCTCGATTCCCCTCCAAACGCTGCCCCTGATCACCATGTTGGCGATCAATGGGCGAGTGGGGGTCGCTGCATTCCCCCCTGAGACTGCCTGCCCCTATCGTTGCACCTGACCGCGGTGCGCCGAATGCAGCGCGGAGGCACGCAGGCGCGGCGCGCACAGCGCGCGGGGAGCGGGGCCACCTTGCGGACGATGGCGCCGATGTGCGAGCTCAGGTCGCAGAGGTCCGCCAGCGTGCTGGCGCGGGCAGCCCAGACATCCGGCGTCTCGAACGAAAAAGGTGCGGAAGTCTTTCAGCGTTGTCGGCCTCTCGGGACCTCACCGGGCCTCGGAACCGTCAGACCCAGACCCCCGACGTCATGATTTTCTCATTGCGTCGACCCCCCGAGGTCTCGACCCGTTCCTCCTGGCCGGTTTTTCATCCTGAGTCGTTTTTTGACGGTCCCGAGGCCTGGTAAGGGCCCCAAGAGACCGAAAATTACGAAAAACCTGCCGTCGCGATTTTTTCATGCTGAAAGACGGGTCCTGGGGAACAACGGCTCGGGCTGAAAAACGGGTCCACTTGTTGCCGCAGGGGGGTGTCCAGGAGGGGGGCGTCCAAGAGGGGGGGCTTCGCACATCATGTGCGCGGCTGCGGTGGAGGGCCAGGGGGCGTATTGAAATAATAAGAGGCGCCGTGAAATCTGGGGAGATAGCATGGCCCCCGCCATGATCTACCCCCAAGCCACCGCGACCGTCAGAGCACGATCGTGTTCTGCCCCGTCTGCGCCCAGGGCCTCGGAAAAAGATTGCGTTCTGATGCGACTGGGCCGACTGCTCTGGGCACGATCGTCACAGGACGATTGTGTCCAGCCAAGCCGACTCGGGGTGAGAAACAGGTCCCGGGGAAGGAGTCGAGGGCTCCAGAGGTCCACGCCGACGTCGGGGGTGTGGGTCACGGGGGCACCCTCGTCGATGTTTTTGGACGGGGATGGATGTTCGATATTTTCCACGCTTTGTGAGCGTCCTGGGCCGTCATCGTCATCTCGAAATCCGGGCCAGAGCGCACCCCTGCACAGGTCCAAGGATCGATTCGTGAGGGAGGGCACCCCAGAAGCCTGCCGTCACGAACAGATCGCGACGCCCAGCCTTCCCTCGCCTCTCCCGGCCTCCGACACCGAGGAGGAGGAGGAGGAGGAGGAGGAGGAGGAGGAGGAGGAGGAGGAGGAGGACCCGGGGGGGGGGGTCGACCCCTCCTCCGGGGGGTTCTCGGTGGCGGTGTTGTCCATGTCTCTCCTGTGAGGTGCGCGCGGGGCCCGGGTGCTGTCGACCCCACTTTTCCAGAGGATCTTGCGCCATCCTGTGCCGAGGACTGCTTCTGGGACGGTCTCAGGCCCGAAGCAGGCCTCGCGGAGCTGGCCTGGGAGTTCCGCGACGACCCGAAAGTGCACCTCCCCTGCCTGTCGCCGCCGAGGTCGCTGCCGCCGCCGACGCCGTCGCCGTTGCCGTCGTCGTGGTCCGCGTCGTCGATGGCGTGATGGTCGTCGTCAACGTCGCCATGGTCGTCGTCGTCGTCGTCGTCTTCGTCGGCGTCGTCGTCGTCGTTGTCGTCGCTCGTCGTCGCTGTCGTCCCGGCAGAGCGGCGGCTGGTGGTTGGCATCGGCGGGCGGCCGCGGCGGAGGCCGCGCTGGGGGGCGCTGTGCCTGCTGCTCGCCTTGGCGAGGTCCTCGCACAAGTCCACGACCTTCCGAGGTCGAGCCAGTGGCAGGGGTGCGGGAGCCGGGGACACGACACCAGCTTGGAGGGGCGCGCTGGTGGGGGTGTTGGGGCCAGGAGGGGGAGGGGCCTTCTTGACGGCACCCAGGGCCCGAAAGCGGCCCCCGAAGGCCGACGTCGAGAAGCAGAAACTCAGATGGACGAAAACCCAGACCCCCGACGTTATGATTTTTTCATTGCGTCGACACCCCGACGTCTCGACTCTTTCCCCAGGACGTTTTTTTTGTCCTGAGGTCTTTGGACGGTCCCGAGGCCCAGCAAGGGCCCTGCCGTCGTGACTTTCACGGGAGGGTCTGGAACCGTCGGAAACATCTTGGGCAGGGGCCACTCCCCTCGCCCTCTCACGGCGCGCCCGCGGCCAGCACGAGAGGTCGGGGAGGCTGCTCGCGGCGTCGCAGCGCCGCCCCCATTTGGGGGGAGGCCACCTGTGTGGATGGGCTCCGAGGGCGCTCCGTGCTCGAGGCGCTCCGTGCTCGGAGGCGGTCGCTGTCGAAAGATCAGCGGGCGGTGCCACCCCAACAGGGGACATCTCCGAACAGCACCTCGGGGAGGCATCGTGGGCCCCCTTCGACAGGGGGCGGCCGTGCGCTGGTGTCGCCTTTCCTTCCTCCAAGCAGGGCTCGGGGTCGCGCACAGGCAGCCCCCCAGAGGTACCGCAGTTCCGCCTGGCTTCCGCTGGCCTCCAGAATAGCCTTGGGCGGTCCCAGCCAGGCATGGCCCTCCTGCCTCCTGAGAAGGCTTGTAAGAAGCATCGGAGCTCTTGAAAGACCACCCCTGCCTTCTTAGAACATCGCCCCTCTCGCGCCTATCCTTTGAGAACTGCCGATGGAAAGGGTGAAAGGGATGTCCTCCCTCCTCCTAGGACGCCTGACACCGGGACAACCAACATATAGGCTTTGCTCAACAACAAATTTAGCCCCGAACGGAAAGCGATCGCTGCTGTTGGGCGGGCGCATGACCCGTCACAAGCTGACAACGTTCGCAGCGATACTAGCAGAGACTCTTGTTCAGAATGCCTGGGGGCTGCTGCCGATCCTCGCCCCCATCCTTTATTTCCGTCCAAACTTCGGGGGCTCCTCAGCCTGAGGCTGCCGGCACAGCACGTCAAGAGTTCTGCACGAGCTCAGCCTTTTTTTGCTTCCCTCAGAGGCCGCCTCCTGCTTCACGGGCCTGCCCAGGGCCACAAGTTGATGGTATACGGTGGTCCGCGGCCAGTGGCGTGTCGTCGACCGAGCGAACCGAACGAACCGAACGGGTGCGTCCCACGTCGCCGAGGTTGAACAACTCCGAACGACAGAGCCGAACGAACGAACCGAGCTGACCGAACGAATCGACGGGTCTGGCCCAGATCGAGCGCGGCGTGCCCACATCGCCACGACAAAGGCAGAACAAAACCTGCCGCTGCCCATCGGAAATTGTTTCCAACTTTTTACCGTGACGGTCGTTAGCCCGGAGGCGGGGGCATTGGGACCCCGAGTAACGGCAGCGCCTGGGCGGGGTGGGGCACGCCGAGGCAGGGAAGTGCCGCGATCGCCACACCTGCGCGCGAGCACCAGCATGTGGGAGGGCTCCCGCTCCCGCCCCCATGCCTACGACCGTTACGGCCCTCGCCCCCGGGGGGTGGGGCTGGGGGGGGGGGGGGGGGCAACGCCCGCTGCGCGCCAGAGGATAGCAAAAACACTGCCCGTCACTGCTCGGGCGCGGCAGGGGCGCGCGGCGGGCCGCGCCCGCCTCCAGGGTCCTCGCCAGCGGCTGCTTCGAGGCCAGGGAGCCAGCGACCATCCTGACGGCGGCCGCGGGCAGGATCGATGACAGGCGACACCACCACCGCCTGCGCGAGAGGCGCCAGGTTGCTCCAGGCACCCCCTATCCCCAGCTCGGGGAGGCTCCCTGAGCCTCGCTGGAGGTGGCCCCCTTGGTGGTGGTGGTATCACCTCTTCTTCCTCCGAGTGGGGCGGACGCCGCTGGCGCGCGCTCGCGCGCTCGCGGGCCGTGCACCGTGCGCTGCGCGCGCAGGGGACGACGCCTCCGGGCGGGGGCGCTCGCGTGGCAAGGGGCGGCCGTGGGGCCCCGCGGGGAGGGAGCGCCGATCGGGCGCGACCCTGACCGACCCCTGGAGGCGAGGGGGTCGCCGCGGAATGGGCTGGCGTGCTGGCGCAGGGCGACGACGTCCGCCCATGCCCACTGCCCAGGGCCAGGCCCCGCACGGGCCCGGGAGCCGTGCCTGCCCCCCTCCTGGCTCGGCCGGGGAGGCGTAGACACCGCTCCTGGGCCCAGGATTGGTGGGCCGGCCAGGCCCAGACATCCGCCGTCTCGATTGCTTCGAGACACGCGCTCCCGACCTCGTGACCACTTCCCCGGGCCGGGTCCTGCAACCCGAGTCGCTGTTTGACGGCCCCGAGGCCCGGCCAGGGCCCCGAGAGGCTGGATTCGACGAAAGACCTCCGTCTCGATTTTCTCGAGACGCCGGATGGGGGGACGTGCATGCACACAGATCGCGTGGCCCTACGAGCCCAGGGGCTCCAGAGTGGAGCGAGAGGCTGGGGACACCCTGGGCCAGGGGCACCTGTCGCATCCCCCGAAAGGAGGGTGGGCTGGGAGGAGGGGGGGGGGCGTTTCATGGCCCGAGGCATGTGCGCGGACGAGTGGGAGGCCAGGGAACGCGCTGGAAAGAGAAGAGGGGGCCATGGAGACTGGGAGAGATCATGGCCCCGCCCACGAGATCCACGCCGCTTCTTGGAAGCACCCGGCGGGAGGTCGAGGCACAGGATGGATGGGCCCTGCCCGGAACTGTCATCGCACGATACGGGCAAGCCTAAGCTGGATTGTACAGCGGAGTCAGATCGGATCTGAGACGGATTAGATCGCGCCCAGATCGGTGCGGAATCTGAGCGTGATCGGATTGCTTAAGATCGCGGATCGAGCTCGGCACCCAAAGGCCGACGAGGGAATCTTAGATGCTTGTTCTGGGGGCATTCCTGGAGCCCACTCATGCATCGATGCTGCATCGAACGTCCGTCGTCTTGAACCGGATTTGAGTCGAGCTAGGGTCGAGCTAGAGCAGAAACGGAGTCGAACCGATCCCCCAGGTGGACCACAAGAAAGTCCCCTGGGGGAATCGGAACCGGAATCGGTTCGTGCCGGGTCGGATCGAAATGGGAATCGCGGCCTGGGGGACCGGCTCGGATCGGGCGAATCAGACCGCGAGTAGCCCTGGTGTCGAGTGCTAAGGCGGCGCCGCGGGCCGACAAGAGCCCGCTCGCGCCGCGGCGTTGCGCCCAGACATCTGGCGTGCCACAGGAGCTCTCGACCAAAAACCCCTGCGACCGCATCTTTGTTCTCGCCCCGTGCCGCTTGTTGTGACCGCCCCGCGGCCAAGAGACGACGGGCCTCTTGTGCACGGTGGGGGGTTCGGCATAACCACGGCCTGGGGGATCGATCGTCATGGACCTCGGCAGGCGGTGGATATGGATGTATTCGCCCCCCCCCCCCCCCCCCCCCCGCCAAGGGCCAGAATCCATCTCTACCGCCCGCCGAGGTCCCGCAGACCGATTCCGCCAGGCGGTGGCTCTGGATAAATCACCCCCTCGGATCATGGGGCCGCGGAAGCATGCACAATTCTACCGTCGCGATCTTTCCCCGTGGCGCCGGAGATCCGGAGAGGCCTCGCGCCCGATTCCTGCTGTAGGGCGTCTTACCCTGGCCGGGATCTTCAGGCGGCTCCGTCAGTGGCGATAGGGGCGCCCCAGGCGGCCCAGGAAGGCCCAGAAGCATCCGCGGGCCTTCAAACTTCGATCCTCAGATCTCCAGTCTCAGCGTCCGCGCGGGTCAATGGCAGAGTCATGGACGTGGTCATTGTCGTCGACCTCGTCATCGACGGCGGCAGCGTTGGTGGCGGCGCTGCCGTCGCGGTCGCTGTCGCCATCGCCGTCGCCGCCGCCGCCGCCGCCGCCGCCGCCGCCGCCGCCGTCGTCGTCGTCGTCGTCGTCGTCGTCGTCGTCGTCGTCGTCGTCGTCGTCGTCGTCGTCATAGTCGTCGTCATAGTCGTCGTCGTCCTCGTGGTCGTCGTCGTCGTCGTCGTCGTCGCCGCCGCCGCCGCCGCCGTCGTCGTCGTCGTCGTCGTCGTCGTCGTCGTCGTCGTCGTCGTCGTCGTCGTCGTCGTCGTCGTCGTCGTCGTCATAGTCGTCGTCGTCGTCGTCGTCGTCGTCGTCGTCGTCGTCGTCGTCGTCGTCGTCGTCGTCGGCGGTTCGCCCAGCGAGGCGGCGAGGCTCGGGCCGCCGCCTGTCGGCCATCTGCCTCGCGATCGCCAGCAGCGGCTTGGCCTGGCCCCGGGGAGGCGCGCAGGGCGCTGCCAGCCAGGCGTTTTGGGTGGCACCTCACAGGGAGCCCGTCGAGCGACAAGCAGGTCCATGCCCATGGCCTTACGATCTGTGGCTCCAGGGTGTGATTGGGATCGCTGCACACGCACACACACACACAAATTCCTCTTCCTATATTTTTGCAAGCCAGGGCGGCGGGGAAAACCCGCACCCGACCCCCCCCAAAAAAGACCCCCGGGATCCTATGCTTCTGGGTCTATGGGGCGCCCTTCGAACAGGTCCCCCAGCCCTGCCGCGCCTCTCAGGGCGCCTTCCCTGCCTTGCCCAGCAGACCCAAAGCGACCAGAGAAGCCCCAAGACAGCGCAGGACGGCCTCAACACGGCCCACGAGGCCCTCAAGACAGACCAAGAGGCCCCCAAGACACTTGAAGAGGCCTTCAGGAGGGCCCACAAGAGGCAAACATCATCTTCCCATTCGTTTGGGAATGCGTGCGTTGTCAATAGACTCACTTTGTGTGTCGTGGCAGTGTTCACGACAGCCCACGAGGCCTCCGAGATCGCCCCAAGACGGCCCAAGAGGCCTCCAAGAGGGTTTCAAGACAGCCCAAGAGGGCCCCAAGACCGCCCCAAGACGGCCCAAAAGAAATTCGCGAGGCCCCCGAAGGCTCCTCAGAGAGAACTGCGAGCGCCATGAGAGGTCCCCCGGAGGGCCCAAGATGGCCCCAAGAAGGCCCGTCGAGGGTCCAAAACTCCTCAAGAAGGCCTCAGTACGGCCCAAGAGGGACCTAAGACGGCCCAAACGGGCTTCAACAGGACCCCCAAGACGGCCCAGAGAGGCGCCCAGGAGGCCTCCAAAGGCCAGCCCTTGAGAGGCATTCGTGAGGCCCCCAAGAGGTTCTCCAACGAGGAGCCTCTGCAAAACAACCTGCGGTAAACGGGGAGTGGTTCGCAACGCCAGGCGAAAGCGAGGATTGATGAGAGGAACGATGTAGAACGATAAGGCGTGGCACGTGATTTTGGTTCAACGTTTTTTCGGAGCCTCCAGATGGCGTTCTCGTCGCCACATCATCGGGCCCGCCTCGAAATTCGAATCAACACGCAGCCCAAGAAAACTTCGGGTGGCGCACGAACGTGAAAATCGAGGGCGAAACAAATAAGGAGCGGGTAAGGGAACTTGAAAAGAAACGGCCAACATTCAACGGCCAGAGAGGATGACGCCAAGTTCCAACGCATGCGAAGCTTGAAGGACCGAGGTGCTTGGCGCGAAGCGCCAACGCAGTCTTGTATCTTTGTAAATACACACACATGCACATGCAAATGCATGCACTAAGGTGTGGGGGCCTTCGTCCAAAACATGGTGTACATGTTCTGTTGACCGCCTCGCGCTCGCGAACCCAACCCCCGGCGAGTTTCCACTACAGTGTGCGCGGTGGCGGTGGGGCACACAGTATCGTGGCACTGTTCCTGCCTCCTCCTGAACCCCGCAATAAAGATATGAACATCCACCAGCTCCAGCCGGCGGAGCCGCCTCCGTTCCACCTTCGCCGCCGCCCGCCGGCCCTCCGCCGAGGAAAGGAGGCGTCGACTCCGCGAGCCCTCGAAAGGCGAGACCCTCTATGCGTGCGCGGCCCCCTGGATCGCCCCCCCGTGGATGCGCGGCCCGAACAGGTGATCACACGCTCTGCGCGGGGCACCCGCACGAAAAGCCGCCCTGGGGCCATGGGGGGCCGCGGCTGGAGGAGGCCGGATCGCGAGCCCGCGGGTATGGATGCGTGCGTTCCTCGCCGAAGGTCTTCCCGGGCGCGACCACCCATCGTTTGGAAGGAGTGGGCAGAAGCCTTAAGTAGGAGAGCGCTGAAAGGAGATTGAATGTCCGCCCGCCCCCTGAAAAAGAAGGACAAGGGACAACCGTCCGACTCTTGAAAAAAAGGGCGCCTAAAATATGCCGGGAGACCTGGGAATCCGCAACACACCTACTTTCAGCGCACGATGGGCACGTCAAAACTTCTCATTTGGATCAGAACGCGATGGAGCCGGATAGAGCTAAGTCGGGTTGAGCGGGATGCGGCCCGATTGGACCAAAATGTGGATAACTGGGCCGATGTTCAAGTCAATCTTTCAGGAGCTACATGCTGACGAGCGATGCTGGATCGCGGCGCCCAGCCCAGCGCCTGAAGGAATTGAGACAAAAGTCTTTCACAATTTTCGATCTCCTGGGGCGTGTTTTTTGGGGTTCCTGAGCCGTTAAGAGACAGTCCAGGGCAAGCACGAAACTGCCACGGAGAAGGGGTCGAGAGTAGGCTGGACCGCGGTATGCAGCGTGCCCCCTGACTTCCCCCCTCCTCCAGGGCGGGCGGGGGAGGATCGCGGAGCGGGACGAGGAGGGCAACAGAGGAATGGGGCAAGGGCACATTTTTATATTCGCGGCCATAGCAGGCGTATGGGGGGGGAACGGGGGGGGCCATGGCGTAACGCCCCCTCCCCGCCGTGTGGTTCCAGCACCACAGCGCCTGTACGCATGACAGCAAGCACCACAGCGCGCAGCACAATATGCACCGCCACAGCCGCGTGCACCACATCGCCGATGTACTGCGCAGCGCATACGTGCAGCACCAGTGTTTTGTCGTCCCCCACACCCTCCTTGGAGCATTTTCCTCTGCTGGTGTTTGCTGGACGACGAGGGCGCCCGAGCGCCAGACGACGACAACGACGACGACGACCACGACGACGACCACGACAACGACGACGACGACGACGACGACGACGACGACGAAGGACGACGACGACGACGACGACGACGACGAGGACGAAGACGAAAACGAGGACGACGACGACGACGGACACCTCTGAAGGTCCCTGGAGAACTCCGGAGGCTGAAGGAGTTTCCCGGAGACCTCTGGAGGCGTCTGGAGGCGAGGCCCTTCGAGGCCCTTGGCGACGACGACGAGGACGAGAACGACGACGCCGACAAGGATGAGGACGACGACGACGACGACCCGGGCGAGACGAGGACGGGGACGAGGACGGGGACGAGGACGACGAGGACGGGGACGAGGACGGGGACGAGGACGAGGAAGACGACAAGGACGAGGAAAAGGATAAGGACGAGGATGAGGACCAGGACAACAACCGCCTCTGAAGGTCTGCACAGGTCTCCAGAACCCTGAGGTCCCTGGAGACCTCTGAAAGCATCCGGAGGCCCTTCGAGGCCCCCGACGACGACGAGGACGAGGACGAGGACTGAGACGACAACGACGAAGACGACGAGGACGACGAGGACGAGGACGAGGACGAGGACTACGATGAGGACGACGACGACGACGAGGACGAGAACGACGACGACGACAAGGACGAGAACGACGAGGATGAGGACGAGGAGGACGAGGACGGGGACGGGACGAGGACGACGACCGCCTCTGAAAGTCTCTGGAGGTCTCTGGAGGCCCAGGTTTCCCGAGACCTCTGGAGGCGTCCGGAGGCCCTTCGAGGCCCTCGACGAGGACGAGGACGAGGAGAACGGGGACGACGACGACAGGGACGAGGACGAGGACGGGGACGGGGACGAGGAGGACGATGACGACGACTAAAACGACGACGACGACGACGACGACGACAAAGGAGACGACGACTACAGCAAAAACGACGACGACGACAAGATCGACGACAAGCACCACAGTAGCCTGCGAGCATCTCAGTGGCAGTGGCAGCGCCAGAGGCGCACACCGGGGGGGGGAGGGGTTGGAGCGTTGCGTTCGGGGGAGGGGGGAGGGGGGGGGGGGCATGACGCGTGTTTTATGGCCCAGAGGGTTGAAAAACACGCTCCAAGGGGCAAGGCATCACGAGCGGCACGCCCTCGCGGCCTGGATTCCGGGGGCGCGATCCCGTGGACTCCGACCCGCGAGGCCGCGGATAAGGATACACTTTCCGCTTCTCCGCCCTGGAAAGGGCGAAGGAGGGCGAAGGGCAGGGCGGGGGCAGGGGCACGGGTTGCCGCACTGCCACCGCGCCTCGGACACGCAGTGGGATGCCCCAGGGCTCATGCGGCCGTGAGCGCGGAACGCCCGAGGATGCGGATTACTCGCGCCCCGGACGCCCGATCTGCCAACACTCCCGAGCCTGAGCCCAAGAGCCTCCTCCGCTAAGGACGACCTGGAGCCCCCCCAAGTGGCCTCCCGATAAGCCACAGGGAGCCCGCAGGAGGCGCGCCTCAGGGAGCGCCCAGGAGGCCCCCAGGACGCCCCCAAGAGGCCCTCCACGGGGACCCCAGTGGGCTCCAAGACGTCTCTGGGCCGACTGCCACCCCAGTCACGAGGTAGTGAGAACAGTCCTGGGGCATGGATGCGCACGGCGTAGTCGAATGCCAACCATTCACGCCCTGCTCCTGGACAAAACATGCCAAGCATCGAAACTTGGGGGGGAGACAGAAGTGAAGCGGAGTCGCACAACGGGAGTATCGGTTTGGGCTTCGTCTCGTGCCGTGCGTGCCCTGCGCTCGCCATGCCCAAGTCAAACCCACACGAGTCGCTTCCCCCGTGCGCCGGGGCATGCAAAGGCATGCCCGCGATTGCCCCGCGGTTTACCTGCGGTTGTCCCGATGGCTGCCCTGTAAGTTGTCCCGATGGTTGTCCCGATGGTTGATTTGATGGTTGCCCCGATGGTCGCCCCAAAGGATCCAATGGATGTCTCGATGATTGTCCCGATGGCTGTCCCCATTGTGTTCCTGCTGGTTGTCCCGATGGTTGTCCCGATGGTTGTTCCGAGGGTTGACCCGGTGGTTGTGCCGAGGGTTTGTCCCGATGGTTGACCCGATGTTTGTCCCGACGGTTGTCCCGTGGGTTGTGCCGATGGTTGTCCCGATGGTTGTCCAAATGGTTGTCCCGATGGTTGCCCCGTTGGTTGTCCCCTGGTTGTGCCGTGGTTTTCCCGTGGTTCGATTGTTGCCACGTGTGTTGTGCCGATAAGTGTCCTGATTGTTGTCCTGATGGTTGTCCGGATGGGTGTCC